GATATTTAAAGAATTACTACAATAGAAACTTTATTTGTTTGTATCTAAAACAGAAGAAGTTTTGTTTATTGTTCGATTATCATTAAAAGTGGCCATGTATAAAATAATTATATACACTCATATGAACATATTAGATAAATTAACTAAATAATTAAATCCTTATAGCACTTTATAATAGTAAAATTTCAAGACAATTAATTATTATATTAATGAGTTAAAGCCTTTTAAAATGGAATGATTTTAAAAAAAAAATTTAGTACATACATACGTACATACGTATATATATAATATTGTAAGATTATATTATACAAGAAAGTTGATGATGTATAACTATTACACAAAATAATAATCAATTTCATAAATATTGAACTGCACCCTGCCATTGTTATAGGCATAGGCACAAATGCTAAGTATTTTATAGGCATGAGCACAAAAGTGGTAGTACTATTATGGCATGGTGCAAAGGTGGCAGGCCATAGCACCAAAGTGGCATGCATGCCATAGCACAAAGGTGGCAGGTACTATTATGGGAACAGTCAGGCACTACTAATGGCATGCTAGGCACTATTATAGACACATACAAAAAAAACGTGACTAAGGTAAAATTGCTATTCAAAAAAGTTTCAAAAATAATATGATATTGTTAATTTATCATGCTTAAAAACATGATAATAATATTCAATAAGTATTAATTAGGCCATTTGAAGTTAATTTTTCAGTTAATATTACTTTCTAGGACTCTCAGAAGAGAAGAGGAGGGCAAATGAAACAAACATATAAAATAAACAAATTATTTTTAATGTAGTAAATATATTATAATGAATTAACTTCAAGTTAAACTTAGTCTAGAGATTCTAGTTAAGTTGCTAATTAGATCAGATAAATTTGATCAGTAGTTACTTGCATTCCTAATATAAAAGAGAGAAGCAAAATAAATAAATAAAAATTATATAATGCATTTATTCGAGAAAAAAAACTTTGTATATACAATTTTTACAGTCAAACTGGAATTTTAGGTTTACTAATTTTCCCAAGTTCCTATTGGTTATCAAATACAAATTTTGTTTTTTATTAAATGAAATAAATCACTAATCGGATAGCTTAAAAATTAATACAAAAAAGTTTCGATTCAAATAATTAGTTTGTAATTATTATTTTCATAAAAGTTAACTGTTTATTTAAATATTTCTTCTTATCATTAATACTAGTTCTTTAGCTCTACACAATTGAATAAAAACACTTCAAAAGCTCTTTTTTCAGTAGATTTTTTTAAATCATTTCATTACAAACTGAAATAAACATATATGAGAAAATAGCCAAGTAGGAACTAAAATTTTGGTTTTATTTTTTATTATTTATTTTTTCCTTGTTTTTTTTTTAATTATTTTTTATTTTTTTTTTAATTGGTTACTTTTATTTTTTAAATTATTTTATTTTATTTTAAATTATATATATTATTTTATATTTGCTGTATAACTACAAAATAGTGTATAGGGAGTTTTTTCGAATTTTGGCCTGAATTAGGCTTAATTTAAACTAAAATTTGAAATAACTTCCTAGTGTGTTATTTCGAAGTTATATGATATTTATTAATTTTTACTTTTTTTATATGTTTATTTTACTAGGAGATATCAAAGGAGAGAAAAGAGATGATATTAACCAAAAAATTACCTTCAAACAGCCTTAATTCAAAATATAGTTGTTAGACAAAACTTTGAGATTTCACACTGACAAAAGTTGACTACTTTTGTCAATTAAAATTTCAAATAATAAAAGCTGTTAAAACTCATAAAAGGTGACAAAAGGTAAAAAAACTAGCAACCAGAAAATGTGTACCAGGTTGGTGTGCCACATGTGTTATATGCACTATAGTAGCAAAAATATATACAATAATAGTAATAATAAAGGTAAAAAAATAAAAAAAGTACTAGATAGTTTTAGCAAAATAAACATATAGTAATTCAAGCTAATATATATTATAAATAGTATAATAGCTATAACTATATAAAACATTTAATTTGTTCAAATTACTGTGAATACAGTATCTTAGCTCTCTAAAAACAATTTTATTTCCTTTAGCTAGTAGTTCATGTTAGTCACATTTTGTCTTAAATATTTATTGAAATTTATTAAACCAGCTTTTTTTGTTATTAATTTTATAAATAAGTCAAATGTAAACTATCCAATTATTATATTTTTCATAATAATACACAATAATCCCAATAATTTTAATTTTATATTTACAACTTATTGAAGTATTCAGTGGAGTAGAATAGGTAAATTCGACAATTTTGTTATAGTTCTAAATATGTTTTTATTTATTATTAAATACAATCAACTAAAGTAAAATTTTGAACTTTATATGATTATACTATTAAACTTAGGTGCTACACAAAAAATGCACAGCAGATTTTTGATTTTGATTGGCTAAAAGCAATGATAAAAAATAAGTCATAATTACTCATAATTTTACTAATGAAATCGCAGCCAAATATTAAATAAAAATTGTTTCTGGGTCAATTTTACTATAATGCAAATTTATTTTTTAAAAATTTCTATTTTTGTAATGAAAAATTAAAAAGTTAAGTTCAGCCAGAAATTAGTAAACAATGATGTAATACAGGCTAAAATTTTAAAAATCTTCAGCTATTAGCCAATTAAAATCAAGAATCTGCCACACATTTTTTAAACAGGATCTAGAGTTAATTAATTATGCCTATAATAGATTTTGAGAAATAGATATATTGAATAATTTTGAATCTGAAATTTTATATTTACTATATAAATAATAAATTTTTTACATTTATAACTATTAATTTGTTTTTATTAATACAAACTTGTAACAAATTTTGCATTTTTACAATTGCAATAAGAAACATTTTCATTATTTACAATAAAGGCTATTAATGGCATAAAAGATGAAGTAAATATTACAAATACTCTAATTTTGCTTTTTTTTTTATTAGTCAAAAGAATTGAAAATTTTTTTATTAAAAAAAAAAATAAATTATTATAATAATATAGTAGATTACATTATAAATTTTAAATTTGTAGCTGCCAAATATATTCTAATGATTTAGCCATCATTTTATTTTTAATCATTTTTTAATATTGATTTCTTCTTCTTGGGCCCTCTTAATAACCCACTTTATAAGAAGAATTAGGTTCTCTTTCCAGTTTGCAATTAATAAAAAAATCAGATATTCGATATAAAAGACCAGTTCCCAATCTTGAAGTTTATGCAAAGCATAATGGTGGTGCCCAAAGTAGGATAGAAATATAAATATATATCACTACCATATGAATGATATATTTCTTTGTATTTTAATTTTTTATGCTTATTAGAAGTTATCTTTTTATATTCAATTACTGGGAATTCTTTGTTAATTTCTTGAAAATTTGACATTTTACATAGTAGAATTAATAAATTATTATAATAATACAGTAGATTATATTATAAATTTTAAATTTGTAGCTGCTAAATATATTCTAAATAATTTAGCTATCATTCCATTTTTAATTGTTTTTTTAATATCAATCTCTTTTTCTTGGGCCCTCTTAATAACCCACTTCATAAGAAGAATTAGGTTCTTCTTCTAGTTCACAATTAATTTTACTTTTTGCAAATCTAAAGAAGTTTTCATGTTATTGATAGAAAAAGCTCTTGTAATTATGCTTTCTCTTAAATGTTCTGTCTAGTTAAACTCTAGTTTTAAAGAGGTTAAAGTAATGTATTACAAAAAGCTCTTACAGTCACTAATTTACTCTCAGAACCAACATTCCTATCATTAATACTAAAAATTTTTAAATTGGTATTTTTTTTGAAGACATTGGCCAATACTCTGCCTCCTTGAGGGCCAATTTTGCAATTCCAGAATTCTAATGATGTTAAGGTTGCATTTATACAAAGAGCATTTACTAAAACAATCATGACTTGATTATTGTATTGATTACTTCCAAAACTCAAAGACTTCAATTTACTGTTCCTGAATAGAATCTTGGCAAGAAATATAGGCAATATAGAATACTAAACTAATCTAATACAACACACTAATGGCAAAACTCTATCAAACTATTATAGTGGCAGGCTACAAAAAGGTTTAGAAGACTTGGTCTAAGTTATTAGAGTCAAATAGAGCTCTATACTACATCACGAAGAGGATCATGGAATTAGACTATTAATTTTATACACCAAAATTCAGGGTAACAGACACCAAACTCTAATAAGTTATTCTTTTATTGAGACAAAAAGTTAGCACTTTTATAAATTTTATACTATTACAAGTACATCATATTAGCTATTTTTATCTGTGACTTTATATATTCAAAATTCTGCTATGTTAGTCACTGAATAGTCCGGCTATTTAAGTGTGCCACTAGATTCACTATATTCACTATGTTGAATACTCTGGATACTCTAGACATTTTAAGATTGCCAGTATATTCAAATATTATAGCTATTCTATATATAGTAAGATATTTATTTACAATTACCAACCAGTTTTTTTATAAGTCTATACTAACTTTTGTTAAGTCTTACACAAAAGAAAGGTAAGCTGAAAATAAGTAAATAATAATAAAAAAAAGAAATAATAGGACTTGAGAGCCCTTCACAACGTTATCATGAATACTTAAAGATGCTAGAAAGTTTTTGCAAAGCATTTTCGCCAGTGTATTCAAGTTGGTTATGAATTATTTTAGAGACACAATTTTATGAAAAGCTTCTGTAAGCACACTCCACTTTCTGTTTCAAGGTTGTTATATACAAGGCATAAAGAAGTAAACTAGTATTTCTGGAATAGCAAATTGTTAATCCTTCTGAATTAAAGTTGTTATGTCCAAGAGACAGAGTGAGATAAGGCTAGATGATTGAAAATGAGAGTAATTTTATTTGCATGAGATTGTTGTAAGTTATGTGTAATTTAGAAATCAAGAAATTTTTAAGAATTTCTTTAAAATTTGATTATGAATTATTTTATTGATTTCTAAATTTTTTATCTTCAATCAGTGTGCATTTTACTAATTAAATGTTCTTCATCTTGGTTAAGAACATTACTTCTTGAAGGCCGTGGATGTCTTGTGGGTAGTGGAGTAATGTATCTATTATGTCTTTTATATATTATCCAGTTTATGATACCAGGAATCAGCTAAAATATATTGACTGAATTAACAAAAGATGGATAGTCAAACAAAGGTATACAATTAGAAAGGATTATGTCTAACAGAATTAACTGTGCCTGTACTACAGTATTTAATGATGAAAGTAATATTATGATTTTTCTTGAAGATATTCATCAAGGTTGCACTATAGAACCTGTCTACACCATTAACAATTTATGAAAAGGCAAAAAATAAACTGTAAAGGTAAGTGCTAAGGTTTTTAAATATTTCAACTAGCACATGATCATGTGATAGCTGCATCAAATTTTGACCAATTACATAATTAAATAAATGAAAAAATAAAAAAAAACTTACATGACATCATAATAGCATATGACACAGTTATAGTCGAAATTTGTTGACTTGACTAAGTTGATGCTTAAAAATTAGATTAGTTGTTATACCCAAATTGACTATTCATAATGTATAACATATATATATTAGACTTGCTTTAAGTTTGGCTTTACATTTTTATGTTTTGGCATTGCTCTGCTTGGCAGATTTAAAGTCTATATTAGTCTTTTTACCCGTGCCTCTTGCATGGGAATTTTTTTTGAAAAATCGGTTGTCACAAAGATTGCTATGTATTCTGATAATCAAAGTACGTGGTTAAGGTTAGGTTAGTTTGCATTGGGATCATCATTACTTCTACCATGAACTATAGTAAAACTTACTTACTATTCCAGTGACAATAGTTTATAGTTAAAGTTGAGTTAGTTTGTCATAATTTTTATTATGAATTGTTGTAAAAATCTGTTACAAAATTTATATCACTACGGTAATAATATGTGGTAAGTTAGTTAGCATTAGGATTATTGTAATTTGCATCATGCGTTGTTATAAAATATCCTGTTGTAGAATTTGCTATTTCAGTGAGATACGATATATAATTAATGTATAGTTAATTTTGCATTAGAATTGACGTGATTTCTACCATGAGCTACAGTAAAACTTGCTATTCCAGTGACAATAGTTTGTAGTTAAAGTTGAATTAGTAATTTCAATCATGAGTTACTGTGAAAGATTCTGGTACAAAACTTACTTGTCACTCCGTTAGTTTGTATGGAATTATTGTAATTTCCATCATTAGATGTTGTAAAACCCTATTAAGGAATTTACTATTCCGGTGAGACAGTATGTAAATAGGGTTCGAGTTAGTTTTGCATAAGAATAATCGTGACCTCTACAATTAATTACTGTAAAAACTCTGTTAAAAAACCTACTATTCCGGTGATACAGTATATGGTTCACCTATTATGCTATTAACGTTATATGTATTCCTGCTAAGAATGTCAAAGACACATAAGTTCGGACGCAAGAAAGTTGATTTTTCATCAAAACATTATAAAATTACCAGCCATCACGAGTGTGTCCGTTCTTAATTATCTAATTGGATAAAAAAATTGCCTTGACTATTAATAGACTGCATTGTCGCACATTACAGCATTGCAGGCATATAGGCACAATCATTCTCATGTGAGATCCGGTCCCATATATGTGCAATGGACTAATGACTTTGACGTACGTAACAAGAATACAATGTTACAATAAAACGTACGTGGGTAAATGTTGATGAAAATTCACATACCGTATTTTAGCGATCATGTTTATGCATGTTCGACATCAATTAGTATCATAATTGTTAAAGTCCAAAGTATTAAAAAGTGCGCATACATACTAACACAAGATAGCATGATAGCATGATGCAATATAGTAAGTTCCAGAAAATGTGCTCTTCGTATTAAATTCCTCTCATAATAAAGTGATGGTTGTTCATGCAAATGCAAATATACAGTTTATAAAATCTGACTGGTTGCTTTACATTTTAATGTTTTTGATTGGTCATGTTCAAAAAAATGTGATCTGAGGATGTGGGAAAAAGTTGATGCTGCATTATGACGATTGCTATTGAAATTCGACATTCTTGAAACATAATCATAACTGATAATTTATACATGAAAATTTAATCAAGTATTCAAAAATGACCGGAGTTATTAATTGCCTCCCGCAAGTTAATATGGGTTTTTAAATTTTGACTTTCACGCGTTATATATACTTTGTGTCTTTAATATGGGCTAAGTTGGATATGGACAACATTAATAACATGCGTTAGTGAATCACATACTATATATCATCAGCATGGTAAGGTTTGTAACAAAATTTTTAAAGTAACTTACGAGAGAAATCATAATAATGGAAATGTAAACTGGCTCAACCTTAACAACATATAGTGATTATCAGAATAGCGAGAGTGTGAATAAGAAGAACTTTTTTTTTATCGAAAATCGTATGAAATTGATGATTTTATCAGGAAGATGATCATAGCAATAATAGTAATAGTAATCGTAATAGTAGATTGCATTTGACCGGTTAATTTTGTGACACATCATCGGTTAGTACTGTATAGCTTAATGAACTCAGCCCCCTAAAAAAATCTGGTCACCGAATAGATAAAGCGTAATTAAGGAATTGCACGGAACATAAGGAAGGCTTTGCTACGCCCTATAAAAAATTTTTAGTCGTTATATTCCGATTGCAATTAGGTATTTTAGTAATATTCCGATTATATTCCAATTA